GGTATGGCCACGGTATGAAATAACGGAAACTCGTAAAACCATTCATATCAGTTATTACAAAGGCTATAGCCAGTCATCAAGCTAATCCGGAAGAACGTAATTACAATTATATGTAAACGAAAGCAAAAAAGTATTTTTTCATTCTTTATCTTGTTTACGCATCCGACGAGAGATGAATAAAGTATCGATCGAAAATTAAAAAAGAGCTGACTGATTTATTCGCACTGTATTGAGTTCTTTAGCTTTCTTTGTCTATCACATATTTTTACTTATTAACTACAATCTATGTAGATAATAAATCCGTCGTCTCTATTCACACGTTATGCGTGTCAATGGGCCGTTTATGCGCGGACAAAATGTTTCATTTTATTTTCTTCCTTTTTTTTTTTCTTTCTCTTGCTCCTCGACAGAAAGTGTCGCGTTGGCAATTATAACTCCCGGACTTCATCTTAAGTCTCTATTTTCTAGACGAAGCTCGCGTTACCATCATCCAGCGAATTTCTCTCCTCTTTCCACGGTATATAATACTTAGGTTACATTCGGTATTTTATTTCTTTTTCGCTGTCACTTTCGCGTAAAATAGAAAACGACCCATAAGAATCGAGATGAAACGAGAAGGAAAATAAAAGTTAGCCGCGCGAATGGAGAAACGTTCTTCTCTACAAGAGTATGTACTTCAAAACGGAAAAATTAATTACTTCTGCGACTTGTCTTCTACCACATTTTTCTACCTACACTTTTTTGTACAAATTGTTTAATAGAAAAATCACAATCTAAATAATATTTTCAAGTTTTTATCTTTGATTCTGTCTTAGAATGAAAATTATCACATTTTATCATATTTCTTTTTGCACGGATATTTTAATGAAATAAATCCAAATGCAATATAACATCTTCTCTCCTTCAATTTATTTATAAAAAAGACCGTGCATTCTTCGTATAATTTAATTGTTATTTAAATGTTAAATTTGCTGATAATGTCTTTTTTTTATGTCGTTTTCTAATATATTTTATTAGTGAATAATATTTATATATATATATGTTATAGATTTATATACATGATATATATTGAGAAATCTATTACTGCACACACACACACACACACACACACACACACACATATATATATATATAATTATAAATATATTTAAAATATATAATTTATAATTAAAATGTCACTGCAATTCCTAGCAAAGCAGTCTGACATTTGTCCCATGGAAAATGGTGGTACCGAGGTTAACATTCGAAAGGTTAAAGTACGCTTTTCAACGTGTACATTTTTCTTCCTTTTTCTCTCTCTCTCTCTCTTTTCATCTTTTTCTCTTTAATTAAATATTACACGTTATTGCGCATCATTTAAATTCAATCGCACGTGGAAGATAAAGAGGAGCTCTTACAATTAAAATCAGTGCGCGATATACATTTTTATTTCGACGTGCAAATCGTTCCAAGTGCTGGTCGAATTTCTAGCTGAATCCATCAAGCGTGGATAACTGCTTGTGCATCTGATGTTTCAAGCACTTCGTTAATCGAAATGTTTGATCTCTCGGGAGTACTTGTTTTTTTTTTTGTATGTTACGCGATCGTTTTCCCATAGTGCTCTCGACGGGAGTCTGCTGTTTTTTGCGCGCGTGAAACATATACTCTTGTATCGATGAATTCAATATGCTATCCGTTTTGTCAGACTGTTAACTTTCTACGGATACCCTTGGCTTGGAACGACGTATCGAGTAACCTCCATCCATTTTCAGTGTCTTCGCATTTGCCATTATTTTAAGCATTTTCATTAACGAAATCTCCCCGTTATTTTCGATAAATGTGAATGCTTGCTAATTAAGAGTGCAACTTAATTAAAAAAAAGCAACGTAATATGACTCAAGTGATAGTTTTTTAAATCGATCCTTGACATAAAAAAGAATGTTTAAACACATTGCGTTACATTACATCTTTTATGGATCGTCGATTTCGAGAGTGATACATCGTAAATCGAAGTTACTTTATGACAGGGTGCATGTACTTTATATATGGCACTTTTTTTTAATCGCATATATGTATACATATATGCACACAAGTTATGCCTATTTTATTACTATTTTATTACTTGGCAGAGTATTCAGGAGAAATAGAATTTCTAGATATGAATATAACTTAAAGAAATATATGCTGTGTCATAAAAACTATCCTATCACATAGTAATATCGGATTTCGGGAACATCTGAAAAGGGCGATATTTTTTTATATCGATATCGGATACGAATTTATCGACTTTGAATCCGTTTTTTTTTTTTACATACAATATTATTTCGAAGCTTGTGTACGAGCTCGTAAAGAATCGAATGCAAACATATCGTCAGCGTGCTGCGTTTTCGTTATTTTTCTCGTGTTATTTTTCTCGTTCGTTGAATTTAACGCAAATATTTTTTGTATCTATACGTACCGCAACCGGTGTGAGTTTTGTTCTTTAATTATTATTGGTTCAGACGCGTAGTTCCTGTTCGTGGCACAACAAGGATAAAATTACGAAATCTGTAGGATAAAAGTTTTTGCGACGCAAATTCACGTGCCGATTTTCTGTGGTTAACAGTGCCGTTTCATCGATCTAGTACAATATCTATAGTTCTGTGTAATGAAAAATGTTATTATATTCTTGGTCTAATAATATTATTTAATAAAATTATTACAATTTGAAAAATTATTTTCTAATTATATAATTTTTTTCTAATATAATTTTTTCTAAACTTTTAATGATTTGGATACTTTCTTTAATAAAAGTAGAGTAGAAAACAATTGTCAATTTGTGAATAAACCAATTAAATAAAATCTTGTTGGTATGAGAGTTGCTTGAATCTTTTTTAAATTAGAGCATTTTCAAAATTATTTGCACAGAAAAGCATTTTCGAGCAAGCACAGAATCGGACGTGATGCACGGATATATATATATATATATATATATATATATATATATATATATATGTATTGACGTTCAAGATTTTCTTCAGGATGTATTAGTCGTAAACTGAAATTGTCGCGTCAAATATATTCTACTATTTATTCCTATCGCCGGTCTCTCAATTCCTTTTCGCCGATCCGCGGTTCGTCTTCCTCATAAATTCCGCGACAGCCGGGAAACTGAATGTTATTCGTATGAATATCGCGACGGACGCCGCTGCAAGGGATTCTCTCATAAAAGGAATACGTCGTCCCATCGGAACGAAGTAGTTCGCTCCAGAAAAATGCTCCTCCCTCAGTGCGTAAACATAAAAATTACGAAGTCAATGGAAGACAATCTCGTAAAAATTCGTCACAGCGCGTCGGAATTTTTCTCGGGGAAACACAAATTTCGTATATTGACATTTAGAAAAACAAGTTCTAGATTAATTCACTATATCTAGCAGGAGTGTTTGAATGTTTCATTATACATTTTTTTTACATAATTTTTAATTTTTTATATAATCTTTTTTCATAGTTTTTTACTTTGACTAACAATTAAAAGCTACCGTTATTTCTACAGTTTGTTTTCTTAAAATACGAGCACATTGTGTCAGATATAAGAGGGGACAGAACTATATTAAGTGTACAAAACTGCGATTTCAGAGATGCAGTGGTATTCACGAATATCCCGAGAATTTGCGGTGAAAAAGTATTGCTCGTAAATTTTGACCGAGCATTTCACCACTTATTCTCGAGGCGGTTTCGCACCTTCCTCTATTCAGAATTCCGCTCAACTTTCTTCGTTTTAGGACACTCAAATAAGGGAACATCAATGAGTAAACTTTGCCAAACGTTTACGTGCGAGCACCATTTCTTTCTTTCAGGAATAATATCTCGATATTATCGCATAGCTTAAACTCGTACATCTTTCGAAAGCGTAGTTTTATGCCCTTTCGAAATCTCCAATTTTTTATTTCTTTTTTATCGAGTTGCGATAAAAAAGAATATTAACATTTTTTTTATTTTTGTTGATCTATTGTTAAACTCATTAACTATAGAAATATGTCGAATAGATAATTTTTTTATTTGCGTATCTATAGATTAATAGAATAAACGCAATGAGAAGCGATCGATTTATCAACGAAATTGCAGACTTTCAGCGCGATGTCGTTTTGTAACGATAAAATAATTATACGAAGAATGCGCGGAATCGGAGGAGGAAGAGGAGACGATCACGCGGAATTCTCGTTTAAGACTTCCCTCAGGATTTGCGCATTCGCAAACTTCGGTCGCCGACTTGACGCTCGACTATTTATTCCCGCTGCTTTACGACTCGCTTCTTCCACTTCGTTATTCGCCCACCTTATCGGGCGTTTCTCCCCCCACGCAAAAGACTCGCACTCTGCAGAATGATTATTTATCCAAACGTTCCCTTCTTCGACAATTTTACACGGCTTTATAAACGCGAGCGAGAGGAGTCGAATCCAGACGTTATCTTTATTTTTCTCGCTCTTTCTCTCTTTCTACTCCTCTTTCTGTACAAGTATCGATTTTAATTTCAGCAGAGTACACACCGTCGCGACGTCGCGTAAGAATCTTGCGAGTATTCCTGTAAAGTTTGCGCGAACGAGATTGTCGATATTCGACGGACTCGTGAATAACGCTCGGCTCGTTCCTTTCTCGAAAATGCGTTTCGCTTCAATTTGTCAGAATTTAAAGTTGAAAGCCACGAGTTTTATTTTACTATTGTTCTCTATACGCGCGTGAAATTATCAGGATAACAGGATCGCGAGCGTGATTCAAATTTCTCTGGTATATTAACCGAATAATGATCATCGGATGTTTGGACTTTGAAACGATGAAGGTATAATGATTACTCGTTCGCGGTTATGCATCCAATTTGTGGTTTTGATATGCGTAGACGCGTGTATATGTATTTGATATTTCATTTTGATGCGTGAATATTTAATCCTTTTAGAGAAGAATAATATGTTTCCGTTAATTTCATTTCGCGTGAAATTTAATGCGACATTGTTTACTCTTCTAATCAATTTTTTATTTTGTTGCAGGAATCGAGAAAGAGGATTGAGAGGCTGAGAGGAAGCATCATCGCCAGAATACGAAGTTGAGATAAATAGGATGATCAAATAACCGTTGGATAAAGACGTAAGTGACGATTATGCATGTTTGACTAGATATTCGCATGATATATTACGGGTACAAAGCTCGACGTGTAATTACATAACTCTGCATTAAATGTCATAAGCGTAATTACGTTTTCCGATAGCTATGCATGAAAATCGAACATAAATTGAAACATAGATATTTAATCGGTACGATCTATGCGTTTTCATCGCAACCCACTAATTACGCTGGCACATTTTGAATTACATTTAATGGCACCAATTCCCCGTCGAATTTGTAATTTAGAATCAATTACAAAGATAATACTTATTGGTTTAATAAAATATTTAAGTTTTATATATATATATATATATATATATATATATATATATATACACCGAGTTGATAGATTTAAATTAAGGAACTAACAGAATTTACGAAAAATTTACAAACTCACGCTCACACGATAGATGAAGAGAGATTTAAAAAATATGAGTTGCAGCATTTTTCTCTTCAAGTCAATTAATTCATACTGACAAACTTTTTTAAGCTTGCGCATGTTTAACGAATAAAATCATCGCGACATTCCAAAATTAAGATTTCGCTTCAAAGAAGTCTAAAAAATTCTCTCTAAAAAATGTCAACGTAGTGCAGCGGCGTAAAGGAAAATCTTTGCGCGTTATGCGTGGAATACATTTGCAACACGTACGACACAAGGTGTGGTTTAAACTTGCAAGCGGACTCCGGATATATCGCGGACTAGAAAGTCGTAGAAAATCTTCGCCAGGCGGGACCGAACGTGATATTCGAAGTCACTCACGAATTCATAGGATATTTTTTCGCTCTCGCTCGATTCCTCATCTCGCACGTTCCCTCTGTCTTCCACCTTCCACCTTTATATAACACTCTTCCCTTTCTTTATTTCCACCTTCTTTGTTGGCGCGACTTACTCGCGCTCACGTGCGCCGATTTGGTAATGTTTCCGAAGGATTTTCCAAGCATCTTCGTTTCTTATCCTCTATAAATTTCGCGGCAATCAGGTATAAACTCTCTCGGCTTCACTTTCTCTGAGTATCGAGATGCGGCTGATTCTTTTCATCAAAATACGTGGCAAATCGGATTCTTCAGAATGGATTGCTCTCCATATTTTTCAATTTTATCTTGATTAATTGATATAATAACTTTCATCTTGATTAATTGATATAATAATTAAAGTGAATTTTTATTACATTATCAATATGCATTAATGGCGTAGAAAGAAAAGATAGAAAGAATCAATCGAGATGAAAGATATTAATCGTAGATAGGTCGATGTATCGCGAATATATTCAGCCGGTGTTTCCTTGCTTTTCATCGTGGTGTTGCTTTCGCGTTGTTGTTCCGTAAATTTATTTCGCAAAATGCTCGACATTCGTGAAATCGCACTACGGAAATTGTAGAATGTAGAGTTTGCGGAACGGCAACTTATACCATACGGATTTATCGCGCGTATGTACTGCGAATAGCACGAGTCAACAATGTAGGAAGTCTTGTAGAAATAAGTTTGGGGAATAGATGGTCGTAAGCAATCGAAAGTATCCTATTCTCGATTTGGCTACGACTCCGCGGAATCTCTCGAGCGTGATAATAATGCCCGTATCCATCCGTACCTTAATGGTAGTTACATCTGAGGGGATAATCGTCTTGGCGACCCAGTTTACAAACGCATTTGTCGCTTCATAGGGACGTACAGAAAGAGACAGAGAGAGAAAGACAGAGAGAGAGAGAGAGAGAGAAAGATAAAGATGGAGCATGTATGAAGCGCGTTGCACACGTGCTTGCAACTCAAGCGTAAGGCGTTTGCGCTTTTAAAGCAGTCTTAATAGCCACTCCGTCGCGGTGCTCTAACTTTCGAGCATTTTACTTGAAATTCTAAAGCGGAAGTTCTTCTACTTAATCCAAGTATAATAACACGAATTCTACTCTGACATAATCGAAACGCAAGAACTCTGCATACACGATCTCATAAGATTGCCAAATAACAAGACGCTAATCGCGTCATCTACATTCGCAATCTAAATAATCATAATTTCACGATTATTTTAATTTCACGGAATTAATTATAATAGTTTCGATACACAGCTGTAATTAATCATAACATGCATGAATTTCAAAATTTCTCCACTTTGTATTTTCCACCATTTTTGCGTAATTATTATTTATTTCGAAGCTCTCTTTCTCTCTCTCCTTCTGTCTCTCTTTCTCTTTCTCTTGCTTTCGAGAACGCTGCGATCAATAACTGCAAACGAGTACGAACGATATTACAGATAATGCGGACAAAACGAACAGGTGCTCGACTACGAGCTCTCGCATTTTTTGAATTACCAGATCACGAAAGCTCGCGCAGCGGTTAACGACGAGTTCGGTCCGTCGAATTCTCCTTCGTCGCGATGCGGAAAGGTACGCGGGAGCGGCATTACTGCAGCAGCTGCCGCGTATCATCGTCGTCGTTCTACGACGATGACGACGACGACGACGACGACGACGACGATGGGTTTTGACTGCACTTCAGTGTCAAAGACGCAATAAACTCCTCGGCATCGTCGAGATGTTTAAGTGCCTCCGTTCTACGAGTGCTTCCTGGAGAGCGGGTAGCCTCTTGCAATGACCTAGTTCAAATAAAAACATACTATGCTATACCACATAAAATGATCACCGAACGTGACTTTTCTTTACCGAGAAGTTCTCTTACGGGATTAATATCTATTGACAGTTTGAAACTTGTTAGAGGGTTACGATCTCGACGTAGCACTGCTTATTGAGATTGCATTTTTCTCAAATAACAGTAAAATATTACATCGCGCGCGAATTAAATTTTTAAATGCGACATGGTGTATTAAATATTTCGAAAGATCCTTTATATGTTTATTTTCCGTGCTATACTTTGCAATAGAGAGGAAAGCTTTGATAAAATATTCACATATTTCGTGAGAAAGAGAGAAAGAGAGATAGCAGCATGCATTGTATACTTTGGACAGTATGCATAAACACCGACCTCGGTAGGTCAAACATTTTCTTCCGTCCCTTCTTGTTATCTTTTATTTCTTTATCCTCATATTTTGCGCCTTGTTTCTATATTTTCTGCTTTTTCTCTTTATCCCAGCCTCCTGGTAGCCGCGAGGGTGCAAGAGTAATTAGTTATGTCATCTGGTTTGCATTTTAAAGAAGCAATGGGAGCCCTGGCGGCTAATGACGCGTACATTCTGAACTGGAAACAAATCTAAAGGAGACGATAATTATCAATTTATTGTTAGTTTATTCGCGCAGTGGATTAACGATGAGAAATGCTTTCTCAAAAATTACTCTAATTTTATATACACGAGTCATATTCTTCGAAGACGAAACTTTTTTAAGTAAATATCAAAATTTATATACAAGTTAATTATATTTATCCTAAATTTGTTTTGCAAATGTGCGTTCACGCGATTTTAGACTTTCACAGACTTGTACTGAGAGATTAAGCTATCATTTTCCTCTTGGACCTGTATCCATCTGTTTCTTAACTACAGAAATATATTTTGCGTATTTTGCATCTGCGCATCGTAACTACAGCAGTGTCGAATTTCGCTCACCACCTCCGGTGTAGACGATGCCCTCGAAACGTGCGCCAGACTACATAGGATTACGCGCGAGCATCTGCCGACGCGTTCCTGGCTCGTATTACGTGCCTCCCTCTATTACGAGAGGCATTAATGCTCCCGATGGCCCCTGCGCGTTTTCGGGGAGCTGGGAAAAACAATAGGTAATTCCCGGGACACTTGTCCGTTCATTCGCGCGCTCCGCTACCTGTCCATTGTTCCTGCAGACCTGTCGACAGCTAGTAGAAACAGAACGAAGAGAGTACGACAAGCATGTGAAAAGTGGCAAGAAAGCGGAAACAGTGTATGAATGTAAAAAATTTAACGCGGTGTTTTATTAATCATCACAATTATCAGAATCGTAGATAGAAGATTGAATAAAATGTGAAAGGGGCGGCGTTGAATCGATGAGTAGATACTAGATAGAGGCAGAGCTTTCGAAGAGTAAATAACATCTTCGATAGATTCGAATCTTCGCGGGCTTCTGCGTCGTCGTCATCGATAGCGTTTTATCGGCATCATTACGATCGGTTTACCGTTATCCAACTTTCCGAAATCAGAGAAAATCTCGCGGCCAGAGTATTTCCGGTCCTGCGTCTCTCTTTCTTCCTTATGTTCTCTCTTTCTTATTTAGTGCTCCACTCTTCTTCGGTAATTCTCAGGTCCGTTTTAAAATCTTTTGTCGATTTTAGGGATAAATAAGGGATGAAAAGGGAGATGGTATCCTTAAAATCATTTCCTTATTATACGCTTGAATCACTGCGGTCATTTCTGGTCATTTCGCGCGATGTGTCAGGCGGCAGATTTGACGATTCATCGCGCGACACTGCAGATTAGCCCATTCTGCGGCGACACGTAATGAGAGTGGGTAGTTTCGAACCGCATGTGAACCTGAGTGCGCCAAATTTGGCCGTGCGGGTTGCAGTTCTCGTCAGCGTCATAAGCTACATCAACCGTTACGTTGCAACATGTTAACTCCTAATGGCTGTTGCCATCGGACACGGCATACTTTAATTCGGAAGAAATTATGCCAGGTATTGTAAAGTTTCGAATTTCCGTGGATCTCAATTCCGACGGATATAACGAATAAGTAGAAAATGACGCTAGAATGTTAAGATTTTTTTTTTTTCGTAGCAAGGAAATTATTCTCGATGATTTGCTGGCATGATTGCAGTCTTGAACTATCATATAAGTTTTCGACGAATATCATAGAAATTGTCGACAAAGTGGCATCTCGATAAGAAATCTCGACAATTTCATTTGTTTGGAAATTTTATTTTTGATATCTTGAAAAAAAATTCCGCGATCGTAGATAAATTTTTATATGCGTCATATATATAACTTTGACACGCCAAATTTGTTGAAGCATGTAAAAAGACATCTTCTTTGGCGAGAATTTTATTTCTTTTTCACACAAATAACAGC